AGACACACTGTACTTCCAGTACTTCTTAGTGATAGGGAAATCTCTCTGTCTGCCTCTGGGATGGCTCATTTTAAGCCTAGCAGGATGGCAAAGCTGACCATCCCTCATTAAAACCCAAACCAAAACGTTGTTGTTATGTGCTGTTGAGTCAGACCCGACTCCTAGCGACCCCTCCTTGGGTTTCCGAGGAAGTATTACTACGGAAGTAGATTGCCCCATCTTCCTTCCGAGGAGGGGCTTGTGGGTTTGAACCACAGCTTTCTGTTTAGCAGTCAAGTGTCTTAGGCACTATGCTACCAGAGCTCCTAACCAAAACATTAGGGTTCCGTATATCTTATTTGCATGGTCCCACACCCACAACGGTGCCATGCACCTTATTTGTGTTAGTAGCAAGCTGTTCAATCTCCTTGGTGGCCGACAAGCAACTCGTTTGTATAGTCTCACCCAGTCATTTGCATTTTTATTTCTTCATTGTGTTACACTCAGTATTAGTATTTCTTGATGCTGGGATTTCTCCACATTTGGCCAGTGGGAGACCTTCAGATTGACTGGTGAAGCCCTCTGACATGCTGTCATTGGACTCTGAGCAATTCCTTGCTTTCTGGAATAATACAGTGTCTCAGGCTTGTCTTGTACTTTCTCTGCCTCACACCCAGAATCGACCTTTTCTCCTAGTAGCCTAGTCATCCCAAGTGGAGAATGCTTTTTAGAAATAAGGACCTGGGGTGCTTTTGATTCTAGGGTATCATTGCTCCTAGGCCTTTTATTGAACTGAGCTGGGGAGTACATATTAACACTGGGTTCATACTGACATTTGCAACACATTTGCAGTTTAAACAAACAAAAAAAACCTCACTGCCATAGAGTTGGATCTGACTCATGGCGACCACTCCTTGGGTTTCTGAGACAGCATCTCTGTGGAAGTAGATTGCCCAGTCTTCCTTCTGAGGAGTGGCTGGTGGGTTTGAATCACCAGCCTTCTGGTTAGCAGTCAAATGCCTTAGGCACTACACCATTATTTTATTAAGATAGTTTATTTGTATTTCTTTCCTCCTACAGTGAAAGTTGTGTTTCCTGACAATATGTTTACTTACTTACTTTACCTTAGTAAAGTTTTTAGTTTCTCTTTAACCTTCTGGTTGTTGGTACTGTCAGGTTGATTCTGACTCCTAATGACCTGTATGGCAGAGTGGAACTGCCCCATAGGGTTTTCTAGGCTGTGGCCTCTTGGAAGCAGATCACCAGGTCTCTCTACCACAGAGAATGTAATTTTAAAATTACATGCTAATATTAATGCTCACAGTCCCTCTGATGAAAGGCAAGACCTCTTTGCCATTCTTTCTGTCTTAGGATGAAGCCACTGAGGATCAGAGGCAGGCAGGTGTGATCAGAGCCCCTGGGGGACATTCCCTTCTCCATGTGGTTGGGCTTCCAGTTTGGTATTCAGCCAGATTCATTTGTTTCTATTTGTTTTCAATTTTGTGTTTCTTCTCTTTTTTTACTTAACTTTTGGAATATGTAAAACATTTACATGGTTCAAAAGTGAAAACTATAGTAAAATATGTTGTTGTTATTGTTATTTGCCGTCGAGTCGCCCCCAACTCATAGCGACCCCTCCTTGGGTTTCCAAGGCAGTATCACTACAGAAGTGGGATTGCCCAACCTTCCTTCCGAGGAGTGGCTGGTGGGTTTGAACCTTCTGGTTAACAGTCAAGTGCCGTAGGCACTATGCTACCAGAGCTCCTATAGTAAAATATATGCTCCTTTTATCCTTATCCCTCTAGCCCACCCCCCACCTGCTCAGCCTGTTAAACACAACCAGTTTTTAGTTTCTGTTTAACTTTCTGGTTGTTTTTTGTTGTTGTTATTGTGTGTTGTTGGTTTGTTTATGTGTGTGGTTTTCTTGGGGGCAAAAATAACCATGTACATGTTTATATTTTTATTTCATGTTTTTTGTATACAAAAAGGTGACATACCAAATGTACCTTTTTGCATCTTGCTCTTTTCAGTCAACATTATATCCTGGAATCTCAGTGCATATCAAAATCAGTCTACACAGTCTGCATATCCTCCATCCACTCAGTGCCCTGTGGTGTGGTTGTTGTGGAGTGTTTTAGCCAGTCTCCAACTGGTGGACCTTGGGGCTGGTTCCAGGATTTTGGTATTACGAGCAATGCAGTAATTAATAATCAAGTGTCTCTTGTGTTTTCTGCTTGACATGTGTTCTTAGGGTAGGTGTCTAGGAGTGATTCTATAGGATTGAAGAGTGAAGGTTTCAGCAGTGTTGATAGACTTAGCAAACTCTTGTAGACATTATTACCTTTCTGTGCTTCCACTGGCAATGTCTGCCACAGCCCACTTCCTCTCAGCCTCGCCACCAGAATGGGTTGTTACACTTTGGCATTTCTGCAGTCTGATGGGTGTGAAACGGGTCTCAGTGTAGTACTGATTCACATTTTTTATAATGAGTGAAGCTGAGCATCTTTTATACTATGTAGACCTATTTCTCTTTTTTTCCTGGAAACTTATATTCATATCTTTTTTTGTTTTTCTTTCAGGTTTTTAGTCTTTTACTCTTTCTCTCTGTACTTGGGAGAATGTGCAGGGAAGAGAGAGATTAGAGGATTAGAGGTGTCATCTGCTTCTCGGAGCAGGAGGCTGGAGTGGTGGGGACTGGCACTGTCTGTCCTTTCCCGTGTCACTTAGACTGGCACTAGGGTCCACGGGCATGTGTGGGCCTGGGTTCTGTGCACAGACCCTGGTGTTGAGGTCTCTGAAGTGAGGACTGATCATGGACATGGTGCAGTGCTCTCAAAGCTGGCTCCTGAGGGTAGGGCGGGGTGTGGCCATCCCTAGCCTCTGCTGGTCTTGTTCTAGGGAGCCCTTCCCTGTCAGGGGGTCAGCCCCATCAGGCTCTTGCCTTCTACTGACTAAGAATGACCAGGAGAGGTTTAGATTTTCCGCACAAACAAAGCTTTTATTGAGAGAAAGGGAAAGAGAAAGTAGATTGCAAGTGGTGACAAAAAGGGACTAAGCAATGCTAGACTTTGTCTTCCTGACCAAAGAGTTGCTGGTGTTGTTAAGGGTTTTGAAATGGGTAGTGATTTTCTGAGAAGAGGTGGTAGTTTCCTAGAAAGGGATGGCACTGTGGGAATTGGATGCATGTGCAGGAGTTGCAGCGGTTGCTGGGATACTTGACATGAATGCAAGGGCTGCCAGGACACTTGACGTGACGTATTATGGGATGTTGCTCATGCACTGTCCTTTGGGGCATCAGTTTGATTCCTGGTTGGTGTCTTTGCTTCAATACCGCCACCCCAGGAAGGTCATAGAGTAGTCATCCCGTGATGCTGTGGGAATGCTTGGAGAGCTGAATCAAGCTGGTTTTCCTGCAAGACATCTTACAAAGAGGTAAAGCATGAAACTGGGTGGGTTGCTGGTTACTTCTTTACCCTGTGTCCAGGATGTGGGTTAGTCTTTGGTGATAGCTATGAGGCTTGAGTAATTTTATAACTTTAGACTCTCTCGTAACACTTTAGGAGTCCCACTGCCTCCTGCTTGTCTTAGTCCTATGACTTGGTGTGGTCACTTTGAGATGTGACATGGGTCAAGCCAGCATTGCATGAACTTTGTTACCAACTCTCCTCAGTCTTTGTCCTCTCCTCATCTCTCTGCCCTGTGAGATGCCCTCTCAGCTTTCCTGTTGAGGCCAGAGCCAGGCCAAAGCAGCTGGTCCATGGCACCATTCCCCTTAGGCCCACCCTGGGGCCCTCTTTTTTCCCCCTCCTTCAGCCTCACCTCCAGTACTGGAGCCCCAGGATTCAGGCTTTGTCCCTTGTTTCAACTTCCTGCCCTCACTCCTCCCCCTGGAAAACACTGTCCTTGGTCTTGGGGAAGAGCACTGGAACAATGTCTCGTCATCACCACTGGGGCAAGGGGATGGGCCCTGTGCTCAGACTGGCTGTAAATCAAGGGTCTGGTGAGCCCAGCACATGGAGGTGCTGAGTAGGGGTGACTCCTTGTCCCCTCCAAGCCCAGTGCTTCTGGAGGTGGAGCCTCATAACTATTGCTTCTGGTGTTGATAGAAAAGGGAATGATGTTCTTTTGAATGTATTTCCCAATATTGCTGCTTCCTGCACTTCAATTGAAATTTAGTGACATTTTTGTCAATTTAGAATTAATGACAATACTACCCCAAGAAGAAGGCAGAGATGCAACTTTGTTTGTATCTATTAGTGCCCAAGGGCTGGCATGGAACTTATCCTATGAAGCGTGAAGTCAAGGGCAAGAGAGGAGGCATGAGTGCAGGGAGGGGGTTTGTGCTGTCCTAAACAGCATTAAGGAGCTCTGGTGGTATAGTGGTTGAAGCATTCAGCTGCTAACCAAAAGCCTGATGGTTTGGACCTGTCAGCTGCTCCACAGGAGAAAGATGAAGCAGTCTATTTTTGTAAAGGTTTACAGCCTTGGAAACCCTTGGGAACAGTTCTACTCTATTATGTAGGGTTGTTGTGAGTTAGAATTGACTTGATGGCAGTTGGCTTTAAAAAAAAAAAAAAAAAAAAAACAGGGCATTTAAGGCTAATCTTCATTCTAGCACTCTCTCTCTCTCTCTCTGTGGGTGCATGTTCCAGTTTTGATGGTAGGTGTAGAACATATTTTTTCCTTCATCTTGTGTGCCCAGAGTAATAAACCCTCAGCGATCTTAGCTCCTTCCTTCCTGCCCAGCAGCAGACTGTTTTACAAGGATGTGGTGCAAACCATAAATTTTATTTTGGAAGAAGTTGATTGCATATATTGGAAAGAAACCTAGTCTCCTGAACATGATTGTCCATTTTGTTAATTTGGATATTTTATGATCATTTTGATTAATGTGCTTATTGGATCATAGCTGTGATGGAAGCAGAATTAGGAACCATGCCCAGAGCAGAAATCTCTGCAAAGTGTGAAGATGATGAATGAGCCCCACTCCTCCTCTCACCCTCATTGGCCTCTTTGGACAGGCTCTCCTGGCTTCCAGCTCAAGTACATGGTGGATGCCGGGTTCCTGAAGCCTGGAGAACGGCGATGCTTCCTTCACTACCTGGCTGTGCAGACCCTGCAGATCGATGTCTGGGATGGGGATGCCCTGCTCCTCATTGGCTCTGCTGCTGTCCAGATGAAGGTACGGCAGGGAGCCTGTTCTGGGTAGTGTGTCCCTCGAGAGACAGCCACCATCTGAAGGTTGGTGTGCAGGCAGTGTTGGTCTGGGACTGTGACTTGGCAACTCTGTTACACAAATTAAAATCTGCCATGTTCTCTCCTTTTCAGGTAGAAAGATTGTTCTTAAGGTCTGAATTCTGTAATTTGACATGTTTGCTAGGTGGACTAATTTTATTTTTACTTTTACTGTACTGAAAACATACACACTAAGACATTCACCAATATAACAGCTTCCACATTTACAGCTCAGAAACATTGATGACATTTTTCATGTTGAGCCACCATAACTGCTATCTTTTTCCAAAATATTCTACCACCATTAGCATAAACTCAGTGGCCCACAAGCAAAAGCTTCCCCTTTTCCCTTGCCTGCTACCACTGGTAACCACTAATAATCTGGTTTCTCTCTCCCTATATATATACATATATGCATATATTCATGTATAAACATATATGTGTGTGTGTGTGTATATATACGTATATATGTGTGTGTGTGTGTGTATATATATATATATATATAT